CAGGATATTTTCTGTGTATTCACAAAGATATACTGGTCATTAAGTTCTTACAATTTAAGCCCAAAGAATTGTGCTGACAGATTTCTTTCATTACCTGCAGCTTTTCTTTATAATGCAGAGAAAAGCAAGAAGTGCTGTTTAAATTTCACTTCTTTTTCTTATATTAGGATATCCCAGGAATTAAATGTGCAAGTAAACTACTTCAGTAAAAGGTAAGTTTCTCTGGTCCAGCCCACTTCAGATCAAACTACATGTGGCCTGAGATGTAAAATGACTTTGACAAACCTGGTTTAAAGCCCGAGTTAAAAACTTCCCAACAGGTGATGAGCTATAAGGAAAAGCTTCTTTCTTGAAGTATGTAGTGAGCTAAATCCAGGTTAAACCTGTTATCTTTTGTTCATTTTCTTTCAGTCTAGATGATTACAGAGCGGGAGTTCTGAACGAGGAGAAGCTGAGAAAGAAAGAGTTTTGAGCTCTGGGACAACTAAGATGTGGAAAGTGCAAAAAATGGCTGCATACCATTTTTTGTGCCATACTGTTTGGAGCCAGGGGTTAAAGAGGAAATAAAGAAAACAAACAGACAAGACGGTGTGAGCGTGCTGTGGAACAGAGCACGCCAACATATCGAATACCTCGACTTCATTTGCAGCTGCTTGTGCGGTTGCTCCTGTAGGCAGAGCTGATAAGAACGCTTTCAACATGTACATACACCTACTTCAGGTTTCATGCTGTGCTGATGCACACGCCCGTGTGTGTGTGTGTGTTGGGAGAACACACACTGACAAAACAATCCCATTCAACTTAATGCCTCCCATGAGGGGAAAGTATATGTGTATACGTTTTTTGTATATGCGCGCACACACACACACACACACACACACACACACACACACACACACACACACACACACACACACACACACACACACACACACACAGCTTCCTGTAGGTAATTACAGTGTTAAGTGATGAGGGCCCTACAGTTCTCATTCTGACCTCCTCTGGAGAGGTGTGTGTGTGTGTGTGTGTGTGTGTGTGTCCCCGTCCCTGGGGTGCTAGTTAAGTATAGTAAGATAGATTTAACACCCAAGGCATCCAGCAGGAGTCAGACGGGGAGAGAGAAAGGCCTGTTTTTAGTCCACCCCCTCTCTGTGTGTCTCTCCTCTCTTCATCTCTCCCAATCCTCTCAGTCACCCCTCACCTTCCTAATCTTTATCTCTCTGTCTGCATCTATTACCTCGGCCCTATTCTCTATTTCCTTGCCCCGTTCGGCCTCCCGCTGCGTTTCCCTGCCTGTTTATCTCTTTTCACATTTCTCCAATTCTGCCTGTCCTTGCTTTCTTGCATTACATACATTGGTTTCATATAGTGGGCATTCAGGGAAACTAGTTTCTGCTGATAGCTGGGGTAAGACAGACAATTCATCTGCTCCTTCAGGGTGCTTTACTATTCTGTCTTAATGTCTCTTTAGGTTCTTCCTTTTTTTTTCTCTGGGCTTTGGCCTCTGTCGCCAGAAAGAGGCGGGATGTTTCTCCTGTATTGGCTTCCCTTCATTGGCTTCCTGTTAAATCCAGAATTGAATTCAAAATCCTGCTCCTCACATACAAGGTCTTAAAAAAATCAGGCCCCATCTTATCTTAATGACCTTGTAGTACCATATCACCCTATTAGAGCACTTCGCTCTCACACTGCAGGCTTACTCATATGATTGTTGGGTTTTTCTCTGTGTGTATTATTGTTAGGGATGGGTATCGAAAACCGGTTCTTGTTGAGAACCGGTTCCCACTGTTTCAATTCCTTGGAATCGTTTGCCACTTTTAAAAACGATTCCCTTATCGATTCCAGTCGCCCCGAATGACGTCATCACGTTGAGTAGCGTCTTTTACCCAGTAGGAAACACGGCGCCTGAGCGGCACAAACGCTCAAAAGTTTGGTTACACTTTGTGAGAAAGGATGACAACAGGGCAACGTGCAATACTTGCAAAGTAGAGATTTCATTTAAGGGAGGAAACACTACGAATATGCAAAAGCATTTGCTCAAAAAACACGCGATTGCTTTCAACGAATGTCGTGTTTTTGATCCGCTCCGGACTAGCGAAGCTCAACCCAGCAGCAGCGGTAGCGTTTCCACGTCCTCTCCCGTTAATACTGCAGGTAACTAATCAATTAGCATTGCATATTATGTTAGCGCGATTTACCTTATTACAAAACCTGCTATTACTGTGCGTTGCATTTAGATAACCATGATGAGAGAGACAGAGTCTGGCTGGCTCAGATGCTGGCAGTTCTCGCTGCAGTCTACCGGTAGCGTCTCCTTTCAGGCCGGGATAGACGAATATCACCGAGCAGTGACTAAGTTCTTGGTCAAAGGCTTGCACCCATTTGCCACAGCAGATGCCCCCGATTTCACTTTGGTAAGTGAATGTGTTTAATTGTAGGCAGGACATTACTGGATATTCTTGTGTAATTGCTACAGAATAATTTATGTTAAACTTTGTTATTGCTACAGGAGAATATTTATTTTACTATTTTACATATACATTTTTTTCCTGGGGACCCTGTGACACCCCATTGAAGAGCCGTAGGCTGTGGATCTCTTAAGATCTCACTGTTGGGTTTGTAAGGCCATGTTACTCCTAAATTTCTATCTTGTTCAAAGAGAAGATATAAAACACAGTTCTAAGCTAATCGACTTTAGTGTTCTCCTTTTTAAAAAAAAAGAATCGATAAGAGAATTGATAAGGAATCGAATCGTTAAACAGAATCGAAAATGGAATCGGAATCGTTAAAATCTTATCAATACCCATCCCTAATTATTGTAGGGTAGTCTAAGGAGCTTGGAAAGAAAAGCGTCTGGACTTCTTTGAGTTGCTTGAAGACGTTCGACCTCTCATCCAAGAAGCTTCTTCAGTTCTAAGGTCAAATGGTGGAGAGTCCCAGATTTAAACCCAGTGGGAGTTTCCCCCCCAAAGAGGGACAAAAGGACCCCCTGATGATCCTCTACCTAATCACATGGGCCAAGGTGTGAAAGTGGGTGTGGGTCACAATCAGCCAGGGTTTCGGGTGAGCTCATTGTGAAACCTGGCCCCACCCTATCATGTGATTTCCTGAGGTCAGATGGCCCAGGATGTGAGTGGGTGTTAAGGCGTCTGGGAAGGGATCTCAAAACTGACTTTATAAACGCCCAATTAGGATAACCGCATGTTTTGAATGCTTCCTTTACATGTGTGTGTTCCTTCTTTTTCCCTTCAGGCTTAGAGGGAACATGTTCTGCCCGGTGGTGTAGGGTCCTGATTACTCCAAGTTTGTGTTCTAGAGGGTGATGGGAGTCAAAGAGGAGGTACTGGTCCGTGTGTTTGGGCTTCTGGTAAACTTCAATGTTGAGGTTGCCGTTCTCTTCAATGTGCACAGCGCAGTCCAGGAAAGGCAAACAGTTGTCCTTTGTGTCTTCCCTGGTGAACTTGATGTTTTTATCCACAGAGTTAATGTGCGCAGTGAAAGATTCCACTTCATGTGTCTTGATTTTGACCCAGGTGTCGCCTACATATCTGTACCAGTGGCTGGGTACTCTTCCTTTGAAAGAGCCAAGAGCCTTCCTTTCCACTTCCTCCATGTAAAGGTTGGCTACAATAGGTGACACGGGGGAGCCCATGGACATATTTCAAATATGTCTCACCACTACATATTTCAAATACAACGAGGGTTTCTACAGACAAAAACATGGCTGCGCCATGGGCTTAAATCTTAATTATCTCAGAAGCTGTTCACATCCACAAATATTTATTACCCAATGAAAACACTGAGCAGGATGGGTTTTCCTTGTTAACAGAATCATAACAAGAGACTGGAATAGTCCCAGGTAACTGGAGCAGACATGGTCTTATATTTAGCAAGCCAGAGTACAAAAAACAACGTAAAACTAACGTGGAAGCAAAAAATTATGCTTCTTTGAATGAATGCACCTCAGAAACCTGTCATTTAAAACAAACATTGCTTAAGGATTAAATGCACTTAATGAAATCTTCTGATCTTTAGAGAATCTGACATGTTTGTTTTCTTACTGACAGTTAAGGCCAATGTCATCCCATTCCTGTAATTATGGAAAATATTACCAACAGCTTGAAAATTTATTTCAATCAATTTAATTCATTTCGGTCGACCTCCTATGAGCAAGCACTCAGTGATGGTGGGAGGAAAAAACTCCCTTTTTAACAGGAAGAAGACTGGCAGAACCAGGCTCAGGGAGGGGTGACCATGTTTACTAATGTCACATGTAACATCCCAGAGAAGGAAATGTCCCTATCAGATTTTAGCACTGACTGAAATGTTAAAGGTTTTTGCATTTCTGTTAACTAACAAACAATGAGTTGATGGGTATGTATGAGACGACAGAACTCGATTACCTCGCTCATTGTTGCACTCTGCTTCAATGCTGCTTCACTAACCTGACTTCATATTAAAATACATTTAAAATCCACAACCTTACTCTGGGTAAACTTGTTCTATTCAATAGAATCTATGTTTCCTCAGCATGTTTTGTAATCGAAAACATATTTTTGGGTGCCTCAAGGTTCCATCCTAAGCACCATCTAAGATGTCTGTGTCCTCCTTTGTGAAGCATTAATGTTACTTCAGAAATCTTGGTGTTACCAACAAAATCATCTGCATCGTAACGTGTTTTGTGACAGAAAGCTGGTTTCTGGTGGCTCAGCGCTCGGTCCGTGTCACCATCAAACATCCTATGTCCTCTTTCATATAACAAAAACTGTGTTGTTTTATAATGCAAGGTAATTATTTGTGTTACTTTTTAATAGTTTGATAGAAGGAAGCAGATTGTATAGATAACACATTTTTGCTTTGATAGTGAATGGACCAGCATGCACATGTGATCATTTGTCATTCTTAAAGACACTGGAGGCCAATATTTGTCGATTTCTTTTTTGCCTAACAAGTTTAACAGAAACCAGTAAATCAGGAGCGAAGAAAAGGGAAAGCTCTACCTTTCTTTTGCAGTATAGCGCTACCGCTGCGCCTCCCTATGTGGTTCTCCACGTAACAGGTATAGTTGGCCAAATCTCCGTCCTCCACGGCATCAAATGTTAGGGACAGCTGCACTTCCTTCTCTCCTAAATGCTCCCTCACCACCCTGGAAAAGAAACATGCGAGAAGTGGATTCACAAAGCAGTGATATTAAATCTTTTATTGTGATTTACTCTAATACACTCAAGACTTTAACTTGGAATTTCTACTTATGCAAATTGCATCAGGAGGGAAGTAAACACATGTAAATTTTAAAGATGAGAGAATCTCCTTGCCTCTTAATCTGTTCCATTAAAGATGAAGAAGCACAAGGAACATGGCGCTATAGAGCACAGTATATAGGGCAGATTTTAAAAGAAAGAGAGAGCGAAAAGAAAAGAAATGAGGGCAGAAGAAGCAAGGAGCCATGTCTGGAAAACACTGGCGACAGCTGGAAAAAGCTCTCTCCTTATGGTGAGGTCATACTCCTTTTAAGCCTGTGAGGCTGTGAGGAAGAGGGGCTGGAGGAGGAGACTGAACTGATGTCAGGGTCACAGAGTGCACCTTTAAACCTGGTGAGGTTCAGCCATAACCAGTGAGATCTTAGCTCAGGTGGCAGATTCAGAGCAGTGGCACAGATGGTTCAGCCACATAGGCTGGGTACATTTGAACATTTATTTAATAAAAGCTAGTTTCATGTAATTGACACCGTTATGCATTTGTTGCATTTATTTATTCTGTTCATTTCTGTTCACAGCTGTTGTATGTTATTGCAGGTATGCCTGTCTTGGCAGGTATGCCTGCCAAGACATTATGACGTTTACAGTCACAATTGTGGTAGAGTTAGCTCATTAAGAAGAACTGGCTGGCTGATATCTGTTTAATGTTTCTGCTGGAGTCGTTGGAAAAGACGGGAAAGAGGGTGAAAGGAGAAGGTGCAAATCAAAAAGTCAGCATCCTCAAAAATTTGAAGCAGAAGCTTTTATTCGAGTCACCACTAAATTCAGAGTGAGGAATCTAGCGATTCATTAGCTAGCTAATGTTGTTATGTGGAAAACCCCCAAAACAACATGTAGCTAACGACTGCTTATTCTTGGACTTGAAAGCAGAAAACTAATTATCCTGGCTTACTCACATTAATGGCTGACATCAAATAAACATGTTGTGCATAAATAGCTTATCATAGTTTGGAAAGTCAATACAAGAAAACAAAGCAAAAACAAACAAACAAACAAACAAAGACCCTTCCAGATGCTTTGGCGTCCATGTGCACTTCTTCACCTCTTGATGTAGAAAAACCCAAAGCTTGATTGTCCAGTTGTTAAATCATAGACCCTAGAAAACTGTGGAAGCTGTGATTGAACAATTACTGTATGAATGAGGATTTTATCAAACTGACATTTTTACGTGCCCCAGCAGATCTATTAACGAAATCTTTCAGCGGTTCAGGAGGAAGATAATTATGTAACAAACATGCTGTGAACTGAACCCTCAGTCAGCTTTTAATACTTGAGTAATTGAACCTCAGAGCAAATTATCTGGGACTGGGACAGCACCAGAAGTGTTAAGTCGCACCTAAACAAGCTTTCAAAGTTTCACATGGGTAATGACACCAGAAGTCTTTAAAAAGTCATTATTTTTACATTAAGCTGTGATCACAGTCCAGGAACATCTTCACTATGTGGCGAGTTATACTTCATGAGTGTTATGAGCTCTTTTATATGAAAAATAAAGACAATACAACGTTAAGTGTAGAAAACAAATTTTACCGCAATGAAGCATCAGATTACTTAAAAAAATGAAAAATAAATTAAAAGTAATATTGTTGATGTTTAGCCTGTCTTGGTTTAGTTGCAGGTTGGGGTGGGTTGGTTTGGATCTCTAGTAATTGGTTCAACCACACAAGCAGGCAGCAGGATTTTGGAAATAATGAGCGTTTTCAGTGCAGAATCAGCACTCTTGTCAGAAACAGGCGAGATGGTCCACAGGATTTTGTTATCCTTCTTCTGTACAGTATGTGCTGCATTGACTCAGCGTACAGTACAGTAATCCAGACTGGCCACATTGTAATACACACAGGGGTTGAACCACATGGGAGTTGGCACAGTCCAACCATGACAAGCAGCGATGAGACACTGTGTAGTCATTTTCCTGCAGCTCTGTTTGTAATTCACCACAGAAATGCGCTGTATCTGTCACTTGAGGCTTGTATCCAAGTGGCTGCATGCAAAGAAAATTGACACGCAAACTTTCAGCACAGGCATTCCCATTGGGAATTGAACTTCTAACCTCCTAAATATTCATGCTTTCCTCTTCCCTCGTGGCACCAGAGGCACAGAAAGAGCAGTGAAGTCTCAATGCAGGTTAATAATGATGGATAACATTACAGAAAGGGTTATGAGACTCAAAATGTCAAATGTGCCGGAAGACATACAGCAAAATGACTACCACCATCTCTGCATGTACGTCTTTTTTTTCCTTGCTCCGTGTCAGAGATTTTCAGTGTGTGCATCACTTTGAAGTCTCCTAGGACAGTGCATCAGGGGTTGCTGTCAAAAGATGAGACTTGCTAAAATGCTTAGTTTAAAACACATCACTCCTCTCCCTTTTTCTCACCTTCTAGCCATTAGCTATCTATATCCTACATCTCCTTTCCTTCTCCTCTTTCTGTCCTCCGGTGATTAAATGGGTACATTTCAAAATAAAAGTCACTGTTAAAAGCACAAGTTTTTCTCCTCATAATCTGTACATCTTGGTGAACGTGACACCATCAGCCAAAGTATCCTTCCTCTCTGAGTTCAGCTACATGTATGTGCCAAGCTGTATCTCAAAGGTCAGCACTGTGTGCATGCTCATCATTTGTATCATCTTTGCCTCCACTTGTGTTGCTGTTCTGATGATATCAAGGCCTGCATCTCTTGTTGTGGCTTTCCAATCACCCACAGCCAGTCCCAGCAGATGGCTTCCCCTCCCCAGGTCTCTTCTTGCTGAAAGGGAGTTGTTCCTCCCTGCCAATGTGAAGTGCTTGCTCATGGGGCTGGTTGTCTGATCAGCTGGGTTCCCTCTCAAATATAAAGTGCCTTGCGATGACTGCTGTTGTGGATGTGACCACACAGCTCACTTCAACCAAATGAACTGACTCACCAAATGGAATCAGGCCAAGTTTGCTTAACTGAACTTAGATCTAAGAAGGTCATCGTCGCTGGTCCCAAAAGTCGAACAAAAATCACACACTGTGCTCTTCTATCATATCTATCATCTCTGCTCTTCTCTTTCTCCGCTCATGTCTGAAGGCTTTGATGGATGTGCAACTTTGATTTGAAAATAAAACACAACAATTGCACTTTTCTTTAAACAATAAATCAGTCTTTGTTATTGAAACTGATACCTTAGATACACCCAGACCCAAGCTGTATCTCAAAGGTCAGCACTGTGTGCGTGCATATATATATATATATATATATATATATATATATATATATATATATATATATATATATATATATATATATATGTGTGTGTGTGTGTGTGTGTGTGTGTGTGTGTTTTTTAGTAGTTTTTTAGCATTTTCTTTGACACAGATACTGAGGACAGCCAGAAGGATAGATGGGTGGGATGACATGCAGCAAAGGGCCTAGGGCAGAATTGAATCCAGGTAGCTGCAAGAAGGAATAAGCCCAGAGTAGAAGGTCTCACAGCTTATAAATCAAGAAATCAAGTCAGCTATGGAATATTATTGATAGCAGATCCACCAGAGGAATGGGCTGGCAATATTTGACAGTCTGTTTGTGGCCTTATCCTATTTTTCCACTATCCCAAAAGTCTGGTACTACTCTCCTCCTCAAACAGATTCCCAGGTTTCCAATCCTACAACTCTTCACTTCATGTCAACAGTGCCCTTCTCCTCCTTCTGTACCTCCCTGAACTTCTCCACTGGAGTGTAGCGATAACACAGGTCAGACCTCTGAAGGTACCCTGTTGTACAGTATGTAGTAGCAAGATGTTTGCAGTACATCATTCAGTCTTCTAAGCTGCGAGCTGGACCCATCGTGGATCAAACAACTCGTTTCTGTATTATTGATGCTTTGTCTCCTCAGACCGTTGTACTTGTCACTGCCGACAGGAAGCATACAATAAACCTTTCTGTTTCAAGGTGTTCCCAATTGCAATGCAGACCTCAACTTTTTAACATAAAAACCCTGCTTCCCTCCTACTTTAGCACCTAGAACGGGCTAACTACCATGCTTCATGACAAAGAAAATATAAGGTAAAATAATGGTTGATGATGAGGTTGTGAACAGTGAAGCAGTGAGGCTTTGACAGCAGTTGGACTGGACAACAGATGTGAATTTCAAGCAGGTAAAAGAAGGCCTCTCTGCATCAGTAGACATATGGGCTGCCTTCAAGTGAAAATATGAAGCAAGCACTGGCCCAAGTGGAAATACTGTAATTACCAATTCATTGCACATGAACGAGCTGCGGACTGTGATAGCTGAGTTGCAGAAACGTGAAGAAGCTGGAAAGCGGTGAAGCTGAGCTCAGCCAACAGCTGGAGTAAAACTGATGATACTGCTCATATATATTGTCTCGCCTGCTATTTTAACCCAACATACTTAAACTACTTAGACTATGGATTTACATTTTCCAGAAAAGAAGTAAGGTTTCACAAAGAGAGGCACTTGTTGGCAGGAGTTTTTTCTCCACAAACTCGCAGCTTTATCACATCCTCTTGGGTGCTGCAGGGTGTGAGTGTGTCAGTAAGAGAGCAAGCCTTGGTAATTACAGGTATTCCCATTATCACAGAGGCTACGAGACTGTGTTTGACACTATGCAAACAGACATAGACAAAGTTCTCGGGCCAGTGCTGCAGGACGTGGGGAAGGGAGCTTAAAGTGGACAGATTAATGGGCATCACAGCGGGAGTCGACCTGCTGGAGTGCGATTGTGGAACTTGGAATAGCAGTATGATTGGATCAGAGGTGGCCAGAGGACTGGACTGAAAGATTGAGAACTCATCAGGCAAAGGTTAATTTAATACTATGGGGCATGATTAGTTTCAAGTTTAAACACTCCTACTCATGTACCGTGCTGCTCTCTACAACATCATTTTCCCGGGAGAGAACATTTTCAGAGGGCAGGAGGTGGATTAGCAGTCGCAGATACATTCTTGAGGTTCCAGTCTTGGATTGGTAAACAGCTCTGCTGCTGGAGTGTCCTCCAGCAAGACACTGAAGGTCACCTGGCTTCAGAGCCACTGTTGCTATGCTGACTCTGACCTGTGACCTCCCCCATGAAGGGAGGAGGGCAAGAGGATTTCCCTTTAGGGGAGATAAACATTCATATCAGTATTGCTGTGCTCGGCTGATAACATGACCTGTGAAGGCTCTTTGAGCAGAAGTGAGCATTTTACTTTCTAATATTAAAGCTTTGATTACAGCTCTTAGTGTGTCAGTTAACCACACTAATGCCCACGTGCTGCAGTTTGAACATTTAGATTACATTACTACGTTGCACTTTTTCTTTAACGTGATGGTGCAGAAGTATTGCTCAAAAGGGAGCAGCATTAACCTGAATAGGGGAAAAACAGTGACACACACAGTGTAGATGGTACATTAATTATTGCCAGAATCTTTCCAACCTGCTATTAACTGAGTTTAAGTAGTGCGCTTAAAGAAAACCAAACAGGCTTTTGCTTCTCATACGACTGCTTATTATGTCTAAAATTAATAAGCTGATGTGATAATCTGAAGAGGCCATGATTGGCCAGGTCACAGTGCAGGATGAAAACCAAACCAAATATTTGTCAGTTTAAATCATTTTAAAGATATAATGAAGGGAGAAGCAAAACTACAGACCACCACAGCCCCACCTGTGTGAACTGAATGAAACTTTTGTCCATCTCAAATCACCACATGCACTCTGCCTGATCATCAAGCATACTCCTGCAAAGGCTCGGGTTTGAGTCCAACCCGTCACCCTTTTCTGTGTGTCTCCCCGCTTCTCCTTGCTTTCCTGTCTCTCCTGACTTTCACTATCCAATAAAGCCAAAAAATATTATTAAACACAAAAATTAAAATTTCAGCAGATTGTCCTCTTCGAATAAAACGAAATTCCAGATGGTACCCAAAAATATAACTCTGAAAATAATTTTGTTAAATATTTTCATATTTTTCATTTCCAGGACCTGTGAGTTACAGTTACAGTACCATCGTGAAAATCCAGCTTTCTTTTTGTATTACTGTAAAATTCAACAACACACCATTCAGAAATTGTTACTGGTTGTCTTTTGCAATGTAAAGTTTCTTTGTTAGTGTGTGATTTTTTTTTAAATTTAAAATTTTCAGACCATTTGAAATATATCTGGTCCACATTAAAGATCCTGATTTATTTTGATGTTAAGAAAGACCGGTGCAAACTTCAGGCTTTTATCTTTAATAGTCTTTGACATATTCATGTTCAAATGTTGACTCATATTTCAGTGCGTGGTAGTGGGCCGATGGACTATTTTTCAAAAAAGTGTATCTTAAAACTATTTGATATATGAAGCTAAAACTTCTCAGCACTCAATATATATGTTCAAACTTTGGACCTTCAGATTGGAGTTGGCACGATGTGCGGTTGGAATGACCCATGGACTAAATGTTTTGCTCAGTTAAAACACAGGTGCTGAATTTGCAACAGCAGTCAGTAGCATTTAGTGCTCATCTACTAAACATTGAACCCCATCGGACCTAAACTTTGCAGTTACGTCTCCAACATGAACTCAGGTAGTAGCACATTATTTAGCTTGACTACTGTTGCTTAGAGGAGATGATGCAGCTGTAGCTATAACTGAAGTAGCTAAATCCATACACAAATTAAATATTATGATTCATGAGTCTGCAGCACTCATGCACATGAGTATTAACAGGTGAGTTAAGAGTCAGGCTGGATTTGTCTGGTCTAATCCTGCCTACCTTATCCCATCTTACTTTCAAAGACCACTTCCAGAGCCTTTCACGGGCTCATTTATTTACAGAAAAGATGACCACCATGCTGCAGGCTGTTTGAAATACTTTGCTGTCTTAGATGCGCTGGGAAAGTCTGTCTGAACTTCTTGTGATCTCCACTAAGATTTGAAATAACTTTCTAGCTTCTTCGCTTTGCAGAGTGAAAAAGGGCAAATGCTTTGAAATGAGGCGAGTTATACGAGATCACCCACTGAAAAAGAAAAACACAGAAAAGCAGTGTGGTGTTTTATAGCACTCTAAATTTCAGGTATACTCAATAGATATCTGTGGTTGTCCTGGTCCCGCCCCTAAAGATCTAATCAGTAGCTGTAACTGTAACAGATTAACAAATCAAGTATTCGCACTGATGCGTGTGCATACTTCAGGTCCTGACTGTTTCAGGTGTGTGACGTCAGGCGTATTGCTCTACTTGTTATCTCAGTAAGTATAAAAACCAAAAATCTATGTCGGATAACTGTGATCATTTGTTCTCTGTGCTCTGGTGGGATATACTTGAAATATGAAGCCATATTAATGTATACAAATACAACATACAGGGAAAAAAGATTTTAAGCAAAGTCAGCAAACTTTACCTGAATTAAGCTAAAACATTTTCCCCCTGTACTGTGCACATGCGCTGCAACGTGATTGGCTAATATGTCTCCGGTTTCAGTTGTTGATTGGTTCTTTTGGGACAGGTTTAGGACTCACAGACTTGAGGACTGTTTCAGTGCAACACGCAGGGGTGTAGCAAGTCAAGTCTCTACCTCATTTTACACCTTTTGCATTGACCCACTGGAGAAAGCAACAAGACCGCCATCATTCCCGCCTCCCGACTGAACAACGGAGATTAATTAAATAAAATGTTTTGCTTTCAACTTCATCTTTTATAGATTTTGATGATAAACTGTTTTATGTGTAATTAATGGATGTTAGACATAATTCTCTTAACTCACATCGACTGTGTGTGTGTGTGTGTGCACATGTGTGAGACAATGTAAATTCTCTGATGGTTACCATAGCGATCCAGCAGGTTGTTCTAATGATATTTGATGCCCCGCAGACAATCAGGCTTTTCCCAATAGACTCCAATGTAATTGGTCCCAATAGGGGAGAAAATGAATTCAATTTAACTTTATTATTAGAATTCATAATTTATTTTTTTTTTAGAAAAGTTGAGAAGAAAGCTGTCAGAAAACCCTCAATGAGTCATAAATCACGAGAGACCAAATTAGATCCTGACAGTGTGAGGAGAGCAGCTGGAGTCGAGCCTATTCAGAAATTAATTAACAATAGAAACCTGTAAACTTGAGAGAATGTAATTGATACTGTCTTGCAGTAGATGTACTTAGAATTTACTTGCCCCCCACCCTCAGGACACTGATTTCAGGATCATTTTGAGTATGTTACTGAATCAGTGGTTCTCTAGAAAATAGTTTACTTACTTCATTTCAGTTTCCTTAATATGCCCTGCAAGTTCTTCAACAAATTTTTCTCCTTTCATCCAGTAGATGATGGGCTTTCTGTTTTCTCCACTGTAGCCAAAAAATGCCTTGCAGTCCAGACTGAGAGGCATACCTGCAACACACAGCACAGCAATGTTAGACGCCACACGGTGCCACACGGAGGATGAATTTGCACTGTTTTGCAGCTGAATCTTTAAACCAGCTGCAGTCCAGGCTGAAGGTAAAACACACATTAAAGATGACACCACACTGAAAGTTGAGCACAGAAGGAGTCATTAAACAAATCTGGCACATTTTGGTTTATATCCTTTCTCATTTCTCCAAAGAGGTGTCCGGATGATAGGGAGCCACAGGGAGCCAGTGCAGAAAACTACTCGAGGTGTGTAGCTGGGTGCCTGCAGGGTCCCTTTGAAATGAGAACCTGAAATAATTGCTGCCTCCTCCTGGTGACAGTAATATCACTTTAAAGAGAAGTGTGCAAACACATTTCTGAAATCATGAGAGGAAACAAAATCACACTAGGTAAAATACTGCTGTGTATCATAAGCTGCAGCACTGCCAACCTTTCACCTGAGCAAATGAGTCTGTGGCAACAGGTGGCATACACAGGAAATGTAGTGTTAGTGAGGCAAACACGTGTCAGCACCAGTGGATTTCTTTTTATCTTACATGGTAAATATATGATTTTCCTAAGGATCTACAAATCTACTTCATAAGATCCTCCTGTACGGTCCCCTTGATTTTGCTAGCCCCAAAATATGAATGCAGGGTCCAAGACCTGGACCTTCAAGTGCTTATTTCCTGAAGTCAAAGGAAAAGCTGTGTGCTTAGTTTGTGGAGAGCAGATTGGTATGTTTAAGGGTTAAAATTTGAATCATCATTATGAAACTAAACAGAGAGAGAAATACGAGAAACTGACTGATGCAAAGTGGGATTGGACATCAGAACCTTTGCTAGCAAAGCTGCAAAAGCAATGAGGACTGTTTTCAAGCTTTACAAATTCAGGGATGATTTTCCTCCAAATCACAAAAACTGTGAAATTTTCTGTGATAGTGAGTAAGAAAGAATGTCGATGGACTCCTAATATGACCTGAGAAAAAAGAAGAATGTGCTTGAACTGTAAAACAGTCACTTTTCAAATGAATCTGGAGCTTTTGTTGAAAAGCAAAGTGAACAGTTTTCTTTTTCTCAGCAGCTCTGGAGGAGAGCGATGTGACACAGACCACTACATACCTGGCAGCTCTGTACTCAATGAAAGGGGCTATTACAAGAAGTTATTTGTTTATAGAGCTAACTGCATGCTTGGACAAGTTTTCTGACAAACTTGAACAGTTCACTGGATTTCAAGTGACTCAATTTGACTCTCAGACACAATTGTGTTTGTTTATGTAATTACTGTAAAAAACAACAACTATTGTTTATATTCACATTATGTGGCAGCACACCTCTTAACCGGCACTAGAAGGCATGAGCACATCACCCCTGTCCTCGCTAACTTATCCCATCAAATATCGCATTGATTGATCGCATTGATAACTTCATCATTTCAGGTTTATAGCGCCATGATATTAAAGTTTAAATTAGCCGCACATTTACTGACAGAACAGAAAATATTTCGAGCCGATTCATATTCACTAATATGCCGCTTGTGGCAGATGGCCCCCCTCCCTGAGCCTCTGGTTTTCCTGTTAAAAGCGTGTTTTTCCGTCCCACTTTCACAGAGGGCTTGCTCAGAGGAGGCTGTCTGATTGTTGGGGTTTTCTCTGTATTGTATGATTTTTACATTCTAGTGTAAAGTGCCTTGAGGTGATGGTGATTTGGAGCTATATAAATAAAACCGAATTGTGACTGAAGTGCAAATTTTCAGCTTTAATTCAAGGGGTTTAACAAAAGTATTTCATTAAATTCAGTTGCATAGTGTACTTGCAGCTTAATTAGTTTGAGCCATGAAGCTTTGATTCTGCAGAGCTCCATATTCAACAGATGTGTACCTTTAATGTATTACTGCTGGAAGAATCAATCAGCAATACTATGAAATCACATGTAAATACACATCTATGGGCAGACAGTATCCACACATACTCATGTAAGACCTTGAAACCCCCATCACTCTATGATTACAGCTATCAGTGGTGATGATGGAGTATTAATGAGCATTCTAATGAGCGCTACCTCGTTAGGCAGTCAATTAGCAGATAATTATGATAGACCTTGGTATTATCATAATGATAGCTCTGTCAGCACAGTCATGAACCAACAGTGAATGTTAACATTCGGTGTATGTCTGTGTGTTTGTTGTCAGTTTTGACTTAAAGTTAACACTTAAGGTGTTGTTTTTTCATGCGTGGGAAAAGCAGCTTCTTCCTTTCAAGCTTTGGGGGGTAATTATCTTTTTCAGAAGAAATTCAAAACATTTAGAGCAGCAAAAGTAAAAATCTTCACAAACTGGTTACAGGTTGAATAAACATGAGGTTTCCTTCAGTTGGTCAATGCCAAAACGCAACTGTTTTCATATGGAAATGTCTTTATGTTTGGTGTCACTGCGCTGCTTATTTTGATTGATGGAAAAGGACGAGGAGGCTTTGACTTCTGCCAGTCTCGAAATTAGAATTTCTAACAAACTCAGAGAAAAAGTGCCCACTGAAGCCTCACATGTCTTGTGTGTGTGTGTGTGTGTTGGTGGGCTTGCGTGGGATTTTTCTTTTTTCATCATCCTGCAGTACAGGCGTATAAATACACACACACTTTAGAAATCACTTAAAAAAGAAAAAAAAAAATCTGGCTTGGAGTGAAATTAGTTTAGCTTGATTGTGTGTGTGTGTGTGTGTGTGTGTGTTTGTGCGAGTAAGTAGGTGTGTGTATTTGAGCTCTGCAGTAATTGATTAGCACCCCGAGGGTGTGTTTGTGTTCTCAGCATGCTATGGTAATTAAAATCATCAACTTTGTTTGCACTTGTGTGGCGTGAGGGTGTGTGTCAGTGTGGGCGAGTGACTTTGTGTGTGCGTATCTCTCCAGTAAATAGAAACGCAGCCTGCATTTAATACAGCTGAGTCGAGTCATCGTTCCTATTTGTGGCTGTAGCGGCAGGATATTTGTGAGAAGCTGAGGAAAAATGAGGGCTGGTGCTGTATTGTTGTCATTAATAAGAAAGACTGACAGGAATTTTCTCAAGTTGGTGCATCACTGTTTCACACTGCTCCTCTGTGTGATCACAACTATGTTCTGTTTTCTTTGGTGTGACAAACAGAGGAAGGACTCACTCTCCCCGATCACAAGTGAGTTTGCAAACAGAAGTCATGTGACCACAAAGTCAAATTCAATCTGATTCCACCTCTTTGTATCGTTATTGTAGCCCGACAGCCTTGTCTGTACTCCTCAGTGTAGCGTCGCTGGCATTTAGAGATGCACATAAAGAAGCAGCTGAATATGAGAATCGGTCCAGACTTTGCTTTGTCCTTGGTTTAGTTTTTAAATTCATTTTTTATCCAAGCAAAAGGAGCTGCTGGTATCAGACATTGACATCTGTTTCCTTCGGCCCGTCTTGTGCGTTTTGAGGTCCTTTCCTGTCAAAGGCTCGTGCTGCATTCTAACAGTGAAAAGTTCTCATTGCTGTTCATTTATTACACTGGGTTTATTCATTTCAGATACATCTAAAGAAATGAACAAATCAATTTAATCTTGAACTGAAGGAAACCACTCTGAATTTGAAGGTTGTGGGAATGCACTTAGCATCCTCATCAGGATAGCGTCTGTGTGTGAAGTAAGCAGCACTGTAAACTGCTATCGAAGTGCAGGTTAATGAGTGTCCACAGTAAACTGTAGGCAACACAGAGAACTTTCACAAACTCAGAGGTGTTAATGCAAAACCTGGATTTTGTCCTGGGGTTCACGCAGTGAGCAGTGCCGTTGTCCTTTGCAGTTTAGAGCACTTTGTTGCCTTTCACAGTTTCAGTTTCAGCTCCACATAATTTTGTTTTAGATCACTAAAACTACCAAAGCAGACAAATGTTTCTAGCAACACAAGCCATTAAAAATTTGCAAACAAGATGTGTAACTGTTGAACCTTAGTGTACAACCTGTGTGGACAAATTTGTATCCCAACCTCCTTGCAACTAGTAAACATCAACGGTTCCTCCATGATTGCATTGATTTATTTTTCTGTCCGAGACCCATTGCAAGTAGTTGACCAATCGCTGACGGACCTCTTTCAAAGGCAGATGCACAAGTTGCTTGGTGGGAGGCAATCTGCCTGCAAACACTTGCACTGTGACTCAGACTGATTGCAGTTACTCTCAGCCAGATTGGTGAGAGTTTGCAAATAATTACCAACTAATTTATGAATGCTGACAGATTGCTAACACATTGTAATCAATGAAAGTCAGGTTGCACCAATCAGGACAACTCATCTGCTTTGTGTCAATATGCAACAAACGGCTCGACTCAGGTGGTTGTCAACTGGTTGTATTCTAGTTACATCGAGTGGACGAACTTTCAGTTTCAAATCTATGAGATTCTCGCTGAACTCTGAAAGTAAGAAGTTAATGTGAATCTCTGTGCATGTAAATGGCAACAGATTTGTTAATCACTAACCGACAAAAGACTGAATCTGTTTTGTTGCCGTTTTATTGCCTCCTCGATGCACCAAAGCTGTTCCGAAGACGGCAAGTGACTGCAGATTGGCTTTGCCAAAACATTAAACAGGCCGTCCACACTTAAACCCCTCAGTGTGGATGATGACAATCTGTCTTTAAAAAGAAAGAATTTTGCATTTACTCAGGATATCTTTGTCTAAAACCAGGTAGCAGTGGTGATGTAGTGATATAACCCCAAAGGAGGTTTGCATCTCCTGCGGGAATTGAACTAGCGGGCTTTGGCTTGTCAAGTAAATGAGCTACACATAGGCACATAGTGGCATGCAATATTACATTTAATATGAATCTTACTGTTACCGAAATATTTGGTGGATGTACAAATCAGCTCTTGTTTGTTTTAAGTTGACATTTAAAATCGGTCTCAAATGAACAGCAGAGTCACTGAACACCCGCCGGTTCTGAATTATGTCATTTGTTTTGACAGCAATATCCCAAATTCCAGGATGAACTGAACTGCGATGCCAGCAATATTTCATATAGATGAAAAGTGAGGAAAAGGGACACGATAAGATGGGAAATTCATATAAATCTGGTGTCTGTCTTACTCACTTCCTGTAAATCTTATAGCTGGTATTCACATCATTAGTCTGTTTCACTTGTCACTCTTTGGGGTTCCCTGTTCTTTGCTTTTCACATTTTATCACTAAAATAGATCCTCGCTCAAATCTCCTCGCCTCCCAGCCTTTTCCCTCTGTGCGTCAAGATGTTTTTGTCGTCATGCTGTCCCTCGTCTGTCTTTTCATTTGCTTGCTCTCCCTCTTTCCTTTTATAGAAATCTTTCACCTGCAGTGTGCTTTCTATGTGCGGACAAATGCATATTTTATTATGCAAATCCAGGTGATTTTATGCACCTTACACGAGAACTGTTGTAAAGAGTACGACAGGCAGAATAATCAAAGTACTTCTGAAACAGTATATGTCAATGAGATTATTTTTCTGGACAGCATACCAAACGTGTGTGTGTGTGTGTGTGTGTGTGTGTGTGTGTGTGTCTAAAGGAAATGACAAAAGAGCAGAAAACATTCAGGTAAAGGATTGTAGGAGAGAAGTAGGACAACTCTTAACGAGGGAAATGAATCATTGAAAACTACCTACACACACACACACACACACACACACACACACACACACACACACACACTGAGAGAACCCTCCATCACTTGACTTGACAAGTATGGTTAAAAAAAGAAAAAAAAATCACTTAACAGACCCAGAATTACTTTGACTGTCATATATTTTTATATTCCCCCATCATCTGCGATTCACCCTTTTTATTAAACCTTGGCCTACTTAACACCGAGATTAATGTTAAATACATATTATTGGATTGAATTGTCCCTTCTCCCCTGGATATTTATGGTTGTCAGGGGAAACCTGGCTGTGTTTCAGAGCAGATACTTAAGTTTCAATTAAGTCATTCCACTGAATTACTGGATGGTTTTTATCCAATGATTGATTCAACTGTTTCTACTCTGGCAGGTTTCTAAGAGTGAAGACAGACCGAATGATTCAATAAAATTATATTGGACCAATACGAGTTCTGGTGGATATGAAGGACCGAACAGAACTCTGTGGGAGAACTGTGAAGCTCCTGTGAGCCAGTAAATAAAACCAACTTAGAACAGCAACTGTTCATATCTGTTTAAAAACCCTATTGCTATTGCTCTCTCCCTATTGAGGCTTTCAAAAAACTGCCTGGATTTGATCTGTTGTACCCTTGTGTCATCCTGTGTCACATAGCTAGCTTATTTGACCTCTGGGCTGTAAGGGGTGCAATAATCTTCCCTTAGTTTCCTCAGTAGGTTAGAACAATCTTAAGGTGGCACATTTATTTGAGGAGTAAATACGCACAGTCCAGTTTGGCTTTTAGTTATTTTGACTGTGTTTAGACAGGTTGCGGTCATAGACTGTATCTAAAAGATGGAGGTGGCCTCTCAGTTTGTAAAGTGAAGTGCACACACAGGTGTCTTTGATATCATTGACTTTACTGTGTGATTACAGCCTCAGTCACTAATTTTCATGTCATATTGAATACGACATGACGATATTGACGATATTGTACTATTTATATGTCAGCTTGAAATATGGAGAGCCATTATATCTTATTCCAGGTAGACAGTAAACATATTCCTCTGCTTCTCTGTGCGCCCTCTGCATGCTGCAGAGCAAAGACCCTATCCACTTCTGACAGCTAGCCACAGTTAGACAAGGCTTGCATAAGCACATTGTTTAATTCTGGCAGCAGCATGCTTCAGTGACACTGATTTAACCAACGCACTGATCCTTTCCACATAAATCTTGCCTCTGTGCTAGAGAGTTAAAAAAAAAATCTGCAAGAACTGCACACGGCTGGAAAAACACTCATACTCTTAACAAGTCCAGACAGCTCCTCTGGAGCCAGATTGTACTCTGGCCTTAATTTAGGAGCACCAATTGTCAAATATTGCTAAAAACTCTTGTCACATACCACTGGTTCTCATCGTAGAGGTCTGGACCTTCAGGGGCTTGCTAAATAGCCTGGATTTGTGAAGCAGTGAAAAGACTCCAGTGACAGGAAGAACATAAATACTGGATTTACAAATAGTGTACTTGTATATTTGATGGGCACGTTGCATAATCTATAGGGATTATGCACTGTGGCTAAGAGGTTAATTATCATGTCTATTCCCAGGTTAGGGGCCCTGATAACACGCAGCATAAAATTAAATTATCTGTCTAAAGGAAAGAAGGGAAGTGCTGAAGGGAATGCAGTTAGGTGCATGGATGAATCGCGGCAGCTGAACCTTGGTGATAATATGTTCCAGAGCACAAGTCATTATTATAAGTTTATATATACTTTATGTTTCTCTTAACAGTTTATGGTGCACTTAATGGTCTTGACATTACATGGGTACACCCGTGACTTTATATTCCAAGACACTTGCTCAGATTTTATGCACTTTGTTCAGAAAGGGGAGCTCTTTGTGCACACAGCCCTGCCGATGACTCAATATTCTCAAAGCAAAAGCTAATACGGGAACTTTCTAAATGCTCCGAGCAGAATAGACCTAACAAGCAGAAAAAGATGAACATGATGAAATTCTTTCCAAAACAAAAGTCTTGTATATATGTATTTTAGCGCAGACTAAGATCAGCCTCACATCACACATGTCGCACGTTCTCGAGTAAAAGAGAAAGTCATCCAGAACTGAAACATAGACTTCCCATCTGCTTGTCACTGCGTGTTTCTGTCTCCCTCTTAGACACGCGCACACACACTTTCTGAGGAATGATCCATCTCAGTCCATCTGTTCATTTAAAAGCACACACAGTGCTACCTTAAGGTGATTTTGAAATGCTGTGGGTGTGTGTACGTGTGTCTGTGTGTAGACCAGGTATGGGGTGTGTGGGGGTTGTCTTGGTAACAGCTGAGTTTCGGGTCTTGGGCTCCAAGGGAACGCAGCTGCACATGGCAACACAGATGGTGCCTCAGACACAGGCGCGCGCGCACACACACACACACACACACACACACACACACACAAGCTGAATGCTCACATACAGAAATGCATGTTCACACACTTAGGCCAAGCGCACATACACACACAAACACACGCAAACACACACACACAGCCACGTGTAAGTAAGTGGGCAGCTCAGCTGTAACCTGGGAGGCTGTTCATGCTTTCATTTCTTCTATTTCCAGACATCCTGCCTCTAACAAATTATTCCATTTTAATTTTCAATCCTTTCTATTTTTAGGGAGGCTCTACACCGCACCGACTCTCCTCAGAAATGCCATCCTTTGTGCCAGATACATTTTTAGGGGAAAGTCACTGTTGTTTGTTGCCAAGTGGTCAATGCTGTAATTTCTCTATTTCTTTTATTATATGCTGCATTTCCTTCTCCCTAACTTGAATTTCTATAAGTGTTTTCAGCTGTGTTTTGTGATGGCTAGTGTTTTGACCAATGCATTAAACCATATATTTTAGATATAAGTTTTAACAGCCACCATTTTCTGAAATTTGATGTTTGAGAATAATGTATTTTGTCATAAATTCAGTTTATTTTGAAAACCTCAACAGGATCTTCAGCTTTATTGTGAAAGGAATATGTGGAAAATAAACAAGTGGATGGCGGAGCCACACGCTGGGTTTACTGTCGTTGTTGCTAACGACAAAAAACAGTTGCTTGTCCGACTGTAGTGTGGTTATATTAAATATATTAGATAAAGAGAGAACTAAGAAATTAATATAGCCACTACGGTGACCATCAACACGATGAAAAAAATATTGCCATAAACAGTTTATTTTACGACACCACGAAACAAACGACAGCGTAATATGACCCAATAGACGTTTTAATATCGTCATCCGATATAAATCGTTGTATCAAACAGCCCTATGTCTGTGCACTGGAGCAGGAGCTCTGTTTCGATTAGCTTAACAGTGGGAGCAGCTATGGTTGCTACAGCTATTGCTCGTCCAAAGTTAAAATACATTTCTGTCCATATCTTTAAACTCTGCACAAAATAGAATTTAAAATGAGTGTTTGTTGTTTTAGAATAGTTTGAGCTATCTGTATTTCCCAGTGCTTCCAGTCTTTTTGCTAAGCTAATTCACACTAAGCTAATCAACTCAACTCAGCAATCTGGTCCTTCTCCTTTGACTTCTGGGATCAAAAAGACATTTTTTACCCAGAGAGCTAGCTTACTGGATATGTTCTCTTTTTCAGAACATTCTCTCTAAACCCCAGAGAAGGTTGTGTGGGAAAAGTTTCTGAATACTCAAGACAGGCCGGCCTAGCACCAACAACCATGCAGCATACAAAGCCACTAAAATCACCTTTCTTGACAGTTCTGGCTCACTCTTTGAACTTCAGACTGTCGTCAAGACCATGTCTACATGGCTAAATGCACTTAGTTGCTGCCAATGTGACTGGCTAATTAGACATTTGCATTAATGAGCTGACCACTTGAACTCTACAAGTTCTACAGTAACATTTTTCTAGCATCCCTGAACTTGAATAGTTACAATTTTATTGATTCTAAATTACAATAAAAGAAAAGAGACAGGAGTAAAATGCTATAATATGCAACGGTGTCGTTTTTAGATGTAAAATTTATGTTTAATTAACACATTAACATAGTATCTTCAACAGATGGTGTTAGAGTGCAGAAGCCAAGCTAATTTAGTTTTGATCAACCATACAGTTTTAGAACCCATAAACGAGGTTCCATCACTAACCATGATGAGGTGGTTCTGATGGAATTTGAGCCTATTAAACCCCTTTTATGTACTGAAATACTCATGCACATGTATACACACTCACACAGACAGTTTAATAAGGTAGCTGGCAATTCAAAAACAAATGGTTTATTTTTAAATTATCATTGCAATTAAACATTTTTAATACTGATGGAAAATCAGAGAAAGTTGGATAAAAAAAAGAAAATGAATCGAAAAGTTCAAAAGTTAATGAAAGTATTGCCAGTAATTTCACAGAAGTCCATTTTTAACATGTTTCCAGTGATATGGAACTGTTTGAAAGCCTCCTGCAAATTTTCAATATAATTTGACATTACACTCCTTCGAGAGAAACTGCATATTATTTGATAAATATGAGATGGGGAATCATTCCTTGAAATGCAAAGGCCCAATTTCCTGTCTAACAGGAAATGAAGCTGCCACAAGTTGGAAAGAGTCATATTTGATTATTGTGAATAAACTAAATATTTCTTCATATCTGACTTTATCACTCTTCCTTCATCGTCCTCTTCATCTCGATTCATCCCCACAAACAAACACTCCCAGTCACACAGTGACACCACGTGAGGTGATTCCCATGAAAATAATAACTCTCCCAGGAAAGTAATAAAGGGAAATCCAGCCTCCTTCTCTGTCCATATTTGGCCATTTTCTGACAGCTCTAATTAACCAAGTCCTTAATGCATCTATACCTGACACTTGATTAGCTGGGGGGCTGGCCTCGTTAAGAACGGTTTTAAATTAACAGATGAAATTAGATTGGAGATTACATCAGATATGCTTGACAAGGTTAATTAAATGACCAGCCACAAGGGGAGTGTGTTAAATCCAACATCTCCAACAGATTTAGAACTGATATAGTTTGGTTCCTGATTCTAAATTACAGCAAAATACAAAAAGTTAAGACACTGTCAAATATAAATAAAACAGCTATGCAGATTAATGATACCTTAGGACTGGAAAAGTTAATGCAAACAGCAAATGGTGGATAGTTTATAATATTGACAGACTCCAAGTATCTGGAAAGTGGTCCTAAAATGGACTGGGCTCAGTGGTATGGGCTGAGGAACACTTCTGAAAATTACTATCAGGAAACCGAAGTGGTCACTGTATCCAGCGTGAATTTCAAAGGGTAGCAACTTGATGGTATGAGTACACACAAGTGCACATGGGTGAAGGCATCATTGATGGTTAATGGTATGGTTTGTGAACTATATTAGTTGTAGTTTCAATAGGGCAAGACACGCCAAACTGGAATGGTAAATGGACTGGTTTGTATATAGTGTTTTTCTACTCTACTTTCTACTCAAAGAGATTTATACAACCCCATTTTCATATGTCTAAGTGTTTTCTATTCACATGAACGTACCAGGGGCATTGTGGGGTTCAGTGTCCTGCCTAAGGATACTTTGCCATGTAGACTGGAACAGCTAGCGATCGAACAGGCTAACTTTTGTTTAGCAGATGACCTTGTGACCTTGTCATTTTAAAGCTCAGTTTTTAAAACCTTACAATGTAACTACAGCCCAGCACATCCAGCAGTATATTAATGACTAACCTCGTATTGTGGATGGATGATCTCAGTTGTTCTCCTGACTGACCTTTGGTCTGTTTACAGCATCCTGCCATGCAATTGCATTTGTCCGTAACCATCGGCAACCCTCATGTTAACTTTTATTGAGTGGAAAAAAGTTAGCGTTCATCCTCCAGCTTCATTGTGTTTATGTTATGCTAACACAGCTATGTAGCTAGCCACCACGTAGCACATCATTATATACCAGCTAGTCCAACTTCAGTAACCCTACAAACATCACTGCTGTTTAGTTTTCTGTCTTCATTTATGTTGGAAGTGATAGCAGAGCTGTACGTTTGAATTTGTTCAGAAATCTCTCAGTCAGAACATGCTATATCATGTTTAGGTGGAAACTAGCGAGCTAACTTCCTGCTAACTTCTAACTCTGTTAATTGAATAAATTCTGTTTTCATGGATGCCTGGATGTTAAACTTAATTGTTACACCTGGTAAAGCAGCAACACTGACCATTTTATTAAAGATGAAAGAATTTAGACAGTTTTTAACTCTCAGTGAGGCCGCAGCGTTCGTTTGACTGAAGCGGAGTTTGGACCCGGAAACGGCTAATGACTTAAAGACTGAACTGCAACACTGTAACAAACATGTCCCATTTAAAATGATCAATTTTTTTTTTAAAAAATCCCCCATGCTTTTCAGTTTCT